GAGTAAATTATTAGTTTTGAAATAACCGGCTTGTTTGTATACCATCAATATTTCCATTAATACAGCTCTGGAGGCAGTTAGGAATGAATTGAACATTGGTCCTGAACTCAAAAGTAGAACTAAACTCTCGGTTGATGAAAAAATATTGTGTTTAGTTTTGTCTAACTTCCATTGAATTCATGTCTCAGAATAAAATATACAAAAAAAAGACAAATGGAGTGGCACCGTGGTGAGAGCTGTCTACTAGCCAAATTGGTAGACAGTAATTTACGTCAATGTTTACGTTCCCAAGATTTGTCGTGAGAAAATATAAACAAAGATTGATTCAAAACCGACCACACCATACTTTGCGTAGGCGGATGCAGTTAACATATAGAGGATTTGACATTCAAGAAACAGTCACAAATAGATGAAAGATTAACTTTACGTGAGAAACAACCAATAGGAAGACTGTGTTTGTTTACTTAAATATCCATAGTAATGTACATGCAAATATATAAATATGCGTTGATTTCCTTAATAAATGATCTGTTGCTTGACTCTTGCCTTCTGTCGTTACAGCACTAGGATCACCAATATACTCAATATTAGCAGACACATTTGTGAGTAGTTAGGAATGTAAAGCTCTTAGAACGCTTAATACTGCTCCTAAGTTATGGTGGAGATATGTGGATGACACTTTCACTGAGTTGAAATACGAACATACCGCTAGGTTCTTCACACGTATAAGCTCGAGAGTAGGTGGAATCCAATTCACTTTTGAGTTAACTATGCTAGACTGTAAAATGCAACGAAAACAGGATTGTGGGTTACATATTAACATCTACAGAGAGCCAACACATTCTAATAAATACTTAGACTTTATTTCATCTCATTCAGAATCGGTAGGGGTAGGTTTAGGTAAATATTTATATAATCGACAAAGCCAGAAGATTTAAATAATGAAATCAAACAAATAGGGAAAGATGAAGTACCTAGACTAGACACCTCTAATTGTATCTAAAAGTTCAAGTGCTCCTGTGGAACCAGTCATACTGACCGTTGATCTATCAACTTAATTTTTCCTGCTCACGGAAATCACACGTACTACTATTGTTAAATAAAAGTGTTGTCAAAACCATCAACAGTTCTTCTATATTAGATAATCCCCTCTAAGCAGGCCATACAGCTAACTGGCATTCAAGAGTCTTTCACTATCATCTATCGGGTGCCAAGTAAATTACCGAAAGCATCCAGATAGCGAATACTTCAAACAGTAGATGCCGTTGAAATCCACCTAAATCAACCGGAGTTCTGAGTGGAAAAGAAGCAGGTCCTGCCACTGTTACTACTCTGGCCGGCTATCGAACCTAAAAATTCATAAATTCTGTCCTACCTCCTTTAATTTATTTGATATTCAGTCAGTTTAGTGTTTTATTAGTATATATATATATATATATCCTACCGATGCTTCTGAAATGTAATCACCTATCGATACTATTTTTTTTCCTTCACGTTCCAAGTGGAACATAGGGCTTCAAGCTAATGGCTTGAAGTTTCTGTATCAGTGTTTATTTTACAGGATCGGGTTGATAGCCTCATGTCCAATCTTTCCTCTTTACCAGCATTATTTCTAGCTTAGCGAGGTAAAAGAGTGCGTCGGCCGAGGATCGAATCCCGGACCATGTGCATGGTCGGCGAGCGTCCTAACCGCTATACCACCGACACACCATCGATACTATTGATTCAATGTAATTCAAAACAGCATTAATGTTGCTGATGACAGTATTTGTTTAATTATTACTGTGATACAAACGTAGAATGTGATGAAGAAGAGCTTATCAAAATCAATCATTAATCAATCTTTTACAGCGAACACTTGAAACAACCAAACTGTATTCTGCTGATAAATAAATGACCAGGATATATATATGGAAATAATTAAGAAGTAGTTTCTACATAATTCAGTTTTAACTTTTTACTTAATTTACTAAGTGAACGATAAAGGATAACCCCGCCTAGATTACTAGCTCGCTAGTTTTCTAGCCGGTCCCAAGCCCGGATAAAGAGGGAGGGTTGGGGCGTGGTACTAGCAACTCCACCCCCAAAACTTAACCAAATTGCTACAGAAACTTCAACGCACAAATATATTAAAAATTCTACAAATACAAACAATGACCTTATTTTTCTCTGGAATCGGGGAAGTTAAATGACGCAGGCTGGTAAAAGCTTTCGGGAAGCCAGTCAGCCGATGTACCTCCTTTCGATGAAAGCAAAAATAAGGATGTGGACGTGGAATGTTCGTACAATGTACGAAGCTGGAAAAGCTGCCCAGGTAGCCGCAGAACTGAGGAGATATAAAATAAAAGTGTTGGGAATCTGCGAGAGCAGATGGAACGGATGTGGAAGGAGCCAACTACCAACTGGAGAGACAATAATCTACTCCAGTCACCCAGAGGACAATCACGAGCACACCGAGGGAGTAGTCATCATGATGTCACCAACAGCAGCCAAAGCTCTCATGCGGGGGAAACCAATCTCCTCCAGGATATGCAGGAGAAAGTGGAGATGGATTTGACAGTCGCTGAGGAGGCCACTGGGTGACATCACGCGTCAGGCCAATGCTTGAGTGGAACCCAAAAGGGAAGCGGCGAGTGGGACGTCCAAGGGTGACATGGAGGGGATCGTGTGAAGAGGAGTTGAAACAGTATGGACTAACATGAATGCAAGTGAAAAGTACAGCAGAAGACAGAAGCAAGTGGAGGCGTGTAGCTGAAGCCCTATGTTCCACTAGGAACCCAAGGGGACAATAATAATAAAATGGGTAAGATCTTTATTTTGATAAATCACACAGTGTTTGTTATACAGTAATATTAACTGATGACCACGACGTTTCGAGCACAAATTATTACTGCTCATAATCAAATCAAGTCACTCACACAACTTTCTTGCTTCGTTTATATACATGAGTGAAATTGATGATTACACATCTGAATAAAATCGATATAAGATAATGTACATTCAGAAATAATATGAGTGTTATCAATAAAATAAAATCAGATGGGAAATTAGATGCTTTTGTAGTAAAAATAAGTAACTTGTTAGAATGTTATAATGTGAATTGAATATTTCTTAACATTATTTATTATCCTCCTTTGATTTGACTGGTGGTAATAATATCTTCCATATCTCTGGTATTTTCATTGAGTCACTTCTATTGCATGTGTTAGGTGTAGACTCGATGAACCGGGGAGGATTCAGTAATCTCTCTCTCTATCTCCACCTACCTATATTACTTCTTAGAATTTCGACTCTGGCCCACCCACCCTATTGTGTGGTTGTGTGTGAATGCTGAGCTTTTTTCTAAATTACTTATTGATAGGATCCCACACACTTTGTTATTGTTCAGTTATTTTAACGACTGTTAATCTCGCATAAGTTGTATATCATCAATTCTCACACACTTTGTTATTGTTCAATTATTTCAAATACTGTTAGCTGTCTCTATTGGTTGTAAAATTGTATAAATACCATTTCCTAAATAAGTTTATTTGTCGTAGTCGTTGTTGTCGTCGTAGTCGTAGTTGTTGTACTACAGTACACAGTCACAGACCAGACTTTGTCTTTTGATATTTGCGTGGTTCGCTGAATCGGAAGGTACCAGAAGCAGATAGGCATATTAGTCAGGCGCAGACAGAACAAGGCGACAACGTTCCTCATTTAATTCCCCTACCGTTATAACACTTATCTTCTTGGGGTCAACCATTCTTATCTTAGCTAAATTCTTATGTTCTGACAGGCAATCTCACTACTCCTGATCTACTAGTTTGACCTATGTAGTTGACCTAACTCACAGTCATTGCAAGGTATTTTGTAAATTATATTATTTTGTTTAATTGGGTCAACCCACTGGGTCCTTTAGTCTACAGAGCTTATCCTATCTGAGTGAGTTTGTAGGTTTGAATGCCACCCAAATTCCTCCTGTAATGAGAATCCTACGTAGGGTCTCAGATGTCCCCTCCTTATATGGTTAAACTACTGTAGACGCCTTATATTATTCTCTACGTGTAGATTTTCACTTTTCTCATTCACATAGTTTTCCACTTAGAGAAAAATCAGGAACTAAAATTATCGATCATGGCATTTATTAGTTTAGGGAAATAAATATACGTTTCTCAGACTACAGAATTTTAGCAATTTACAAATTCCTCTTCCCCCTTCTCCTCCTCCCCCTCTTTCTCCCTCTCAACTCAACTCCTGTTACCATAAGAACACAGGTATGCTACACTGTGTGTATGCGCGTGTGCGTGTGTTTGTGTGGATATATGTGTTGAGTACAAACCAAAAGTATTAGAGAAAAAACGAAAAAACAAAACAAACAAAAGCAGAGCAAATCAGTAAAGTCAGACGGTAAGAGAGAATTTCTGGTTACGCATCGTAGAACAAGCAACACTATACAACTACAACAACGCATCTGTCTCCAGTTGGGTAAAACCCCCTTGAGACACGTTAAAGAAAATAATAAAAAAAATCTACAGCCGAAAATATATATAGTCATTTCTGCCTTTCTCGCAAATACTTTCAACCAATCCACACGTTTATTACTCAAATATAATTATATCGTATAGAGATGAACAATAAAAATGGGATATGGGAAGGGAAACACCCAAAGCAAAATAGTAAAACAGCATATTTTAGTATCTTCTCTAAATATTTGACTTTCTGCAGTGTACACCTTCTTCTGTCTCACATTCATTTGCACTACAACACTCAAAAATTAAAATTCTGAGATATTTAAGTAGAGTAATATATCTAAATATCTAAAGTGAAGCTTTTTGATTCTATCTTCCTGTGAAAAACGCTTATTCTACACATATACATAATCAAAGCAAACATTGAATTCCACTTTCATTTTGATCAACTTTCATCATTAATTAATATCGTCATTTCTGTTATCAAAAAAAATTTGAGCTCAATACATAAATATTGTCATATGTGTATATCAGTGCAAATTCATATCGTTGTTACCGCCAATGTATCTGTTCCCGCTTCATTCATTGATATGTAGGAGTTAGAATTACAAATGGCCTCTTTCACAGCCCTGTTATTTTCATCCTGAGTTTAAAACAAATCTCTATTATTGTAAAAGTAAGTGAATTGTTGTTTTTTTCGTTGTTATTGAGAGGTTATAAATATGAGTGTATAGAAAGTGGATTGTAGTTTATAGTCTCATTAGTCTTCAAGTTCACATTTAACGTATTTTATATTTGAAGTAGGCAAACAGTTAGACGATTTATCAGTCAGAGATCACTGAAAAATAGGGCGTACACTGGACATCTGTTTCACTCTGGTTTAGGACTCTTCAGTCGCAACCTGGAGGTCTCCAGTTCTATCCCTAGTGGAGTGTTGATGTATACTACTGAAGAGTCCAGATCTTGGATGAAACATCTGTTCAGTGTGCCCCTTACCTTATAGTCATCTCTAATTGATGTTAGCTTGTGATGAGATCTGTACTGAAGGCTAGAGAATTGTTATTCGTATTCAATTCAATTTTGATTTTCTCACTGATTGAGTAGACTGAAATGTCCGACCAGCTCCTGCCCAGTATGGATAATTCGAAGATGTCTGATATTAAAACAACTTAAAGCAGTTTCGGTAAATAATGGTGACTTACACAAAGGAATCTAGCCAGGATATGCATTTCTGTTATCCTGTTCAGAACTCATCAGCTAGTGGATTTACCTGCATTCCGACTAACCATTTCGTCCTATTTAGGACTCATTAGCTGGATGTATTCCATTCTTTTCAAGTACTGATTTCGAGTTTCAATGGGAACGCCATCACTCACTGGGAATGCGGGTATATCCCGCGGATGACGAGTCCCAAGTAGGACGAAATGGACATCCTAGATTCCAGTACCAGTCACTGTTCACCAAAATAAGGGAATTTTATCTAACTTTTTTGAACAATTTATATATTTTTTTACCAAAAATCAATTCTATTTCTATCAGTATGTAGAAAGGGGAGCAAATTCATTTACCTAATAAGTTAGAACTTTCACCTGAATTGAATCCTAAAGAGACATGAAGACAAAGAAGTGACATTTCTATATTACACTAATGTGAACTGATAACTAGCTTAGAGAAATTACTATCAAAATTTTAATAAGATTTGCCCAGTTGGATCTACCAATTCCTATGTGATAATAGTGGTTAACAATGGATGCTGAATGCCTTATGTCACTAACTGAGTCAGTGAAATTATTCTAATCTGAAAAACTAATATTTCCGAATGTATTATCCCCAAGAGTGTGGTTGGAGTGGTTAGGTAGAAGCAACAGTCCGATGGTTCTTAGTATTCAGTGATTTTCTAGCTAGCGTCAGTTCGTGATGAAATCAAAATTAAAAATAACAGATCCCCCAAAACAAGATTTTACAGTTAAAATGAACTCTAAAGAAAGCAATAATGTCTATAAAGAAAGAGAGACAAAGTTAGCAGTATAAAATGATATCATTCTGTTTCACAGGTTCTCATCAGCTGCTGCAAACTACCTGGAATTACAATGGTTATAAATAATGACATTTCATAATTCAATGTTTGAAAGGTAACACAGAAAACATTATAAGATGAACACATCCGGAATATAAGTATTACTATTTTTAGCTTAAGTCACTATCAGTTTATATGCTTTCAAACTATGAAAAAAGAGGGTGGGGTGAGAGAAGACAGAAAAATCTAATAAACAGTGTTAGCTTGTACGTCAACATGCCAACTCAAGAAGGTTAAAGTTCATCAAATTGAGAACTTGCTTAGTGAGCTGAGCTCACTGGTGTGTATGATTAATCAGTGTAATGAAAGTAATACGGTTACCAAGGGAGTGAGAGATTGGCTACACTCTCTTTCTGTGTGCATTAGTTTGGTCAGAAACGTTTGATTGCAATTGCTTCGGCAAATCGTAGTAAATTCGCTGGCTTTTATATGTGTCTGGTAACTGCACTTTGTAAATATCTGCTTCCTTTTAAGCATAAATTTCTTGAAACATACTCTGAAAACCGGATGAAAGCCCTTCTTTCTGTCCTTCCAATGTATTTGTTCCCGCAAGTGTGCGTAAATGTATGATAGTATAAGTTGTGTATTATATGAGCAAGGGGAGAAAGCACTTTCTCTTCCAACACACTTATTATCAAATAGCTTGTATCCAGTTTTCTGTACTTCTTATATGATTAACTTGAAAGTGGCTTTACTCACGTTATGTAACAAACTTTTGAATGTCATCTCAAACCCATTATTATACGGCTGGTTAAATATTAAGTATGGAATTAAAATCCTTATTTAGATATTTAGAAAGCAAAAGGCCTCATAACTTACAAATTTCAGGAGTTTTATGAAATCCACTTGCCAGAACTGAGAAGTTATACCACGCCGGTTAATTGAAGTCAGTTTATATGTCAAGAGAATCCGAAATTCTCCTCACCTGTTATAGTTTCATGGGGTTCTTCTAAGACTCACTGCGGTTGGATTGCACAATCGTCAAAGGATTCAGTATGTTTTACTTTATTCTGAGCACTCATACATTGCGAGATGGGTTAGAAAAACTACACTATGCCTGATTAGTGCCTGACTCATATACTATCCACGCGTCTGAGAATAAATGTGGTACCACTTGATTGCAGATGACGGACAATCAATGAAACACCATTATATTTGCAGAAGTCTCACCTATCAATAGCTATTCTACTTACGCTTAACTTTATGCAAGACTAATAATATCGTCGGTGCGTCGGTCCGGGTCCCAGTGGTTTAATGGTATACGAGCTCACCTTGTAACCGGAAGGTCCTGGGTTCAAATCCCCGTGGGTGCGTATTGATGAAGAGTCCCAAACTAGGACGAAACAGCTGTCCAGTATTCCCAGGTTTTGCGTCGGCGACATAGCGGTTAGGACGTTCGCCGACCATGCACATGGTCCGGGGTTCGATCCCCGGCCGACGCACTCCTTTCACTACTCTCAAGTCTGTGTGGAGGTCAACAACACTCAGCATCAAAAATAAGATCCGGATTTTCAACTCCAGTGTGAAGTCAGTGCTACTATACGGATCAGAGACTTGGCCAGTGCGTCATAAAGAGCACATCAAACAAACTACAGACCTTCATCAACAGTTGCCTTCGCTCAATACTCAAGATCAGATGGCCAGAAAAGGTCAACAACAGAGATCTCTGGCAATGAGTGAACCAACCAGGAACCGATTGTGAAACAAATAGGCAGGAAGAAATGGAGATGGATTGGCCATACTCTGAGGAAACCATCAAGTGACAGCACTAGACAAGGCGTTGAGTGGAACCTGAAAGGGAAGCGACGAGTTGGTCGTCCAAGGGTGACTAGGAGGAGGTCATGTGAAGAGGAGATGAAGGCGCGTGGGCAGACTTAGAGCTAGGTGAAGACTCTAGCAGAGAACCGAATGCAATGGAGACGCACGGCTGAAGCCCTATGTTCCTCTAGGAATTAAAGGAAACAATAATAATATAGTGAGTAATAATTACATATATACATTATTTGAGATTTATTCAGCCGAAAAAATCCAATAACATAAGATGAGTTCGTCTTATCTCAGAAAAGCTGTTCACATTCACTTATTGAAGATATTTATCGCCTTTATCAAGACATTTCACATTTTGTATAAAAGCATATAACCACATGTCAAGTAAAAACAATTTCCAGTAATTTTTGGTAAGTATAATATACCTGACACATATTAAGTATGCAGCGAACTGTACCCGTTGTCCAGCTACGATATGACCAAAACAAGAATGAATATGACTGCATTAACCGTTGAAAGGTTAAAACTAAAATTCAAGTTCAATAAATGTATAAAACTTGGGCATTGTGGTGGTAGTATGTAATTCCATAATAATTTGTTTATTTGATATATCACTTCACCTCAACGATAACGACAATTCAATTCACTTACTAATCGGATAGTCATGAAGGGGACCTTCTAATGTTAGATTTTATCACAAAAAGGAAAGAGGATGGGGAAACCCACGGGTTCAAACCTATATTTGCATTTTGGTTCATCCCACCTAATTTCAGTAAATATAGGATTGGTGTAATGTTTTAGTGATAGGGTACAAAAACTAAAATGTACCAAAGAAAATCTAAGACAGGAAGTGAGGCATATGAGGGAAGCTTTGAAATGTGATAAATTAATCATGAAGTATGTGAGAAAATGTAAAAATAAAATTAATAGTAATAATGGCAGCAATACTGATATAAATAGTAATAATAATAATGTCGACATGCATAACAAACATGCCCAGAATGATGATAACACCAAAAATAAGGAATCTAAATCATCAGTAGTAATCCCATACAAGGAAGGAACCTTAAAAACTTTACGTAGAATTCTTAACACACCAGGAATAAGAGCGGCTGACATTTAAACCTTCCACATACCCACCTGGAAACAAACTTCGTCGGTTACAGGTTCCTGTGAGGCCCATTAGACAAAACAATTTAGTTTATCTAATACCCTGCTGGAATGATTGTCAGATCAAATACATAGGTCAGAGTAATGGAACGGAGTCATTCAGACTAGCGGAGCACAAAAATCTAACAAAATCTAGATTAGTTGATCCGAATAAGATAAGAAATCTGGAGAATAGTTCAGCTATAGCACTACATATAATTACGCACAACCACACAACAGGATGGGATAAGATGACAGTTTTAAAATCTAGTGTAACAGGGTGAATGAAGGGAGAGATGAATAACGGAAGTTTTGTTTATCGAATCAAATAAAAATCCGTGTACTAGAAATGATTCAACACACCTGTCCACCCGGACATCTGGAAAATTCTACTCCCCCTTCGACGAATAGGAAGGAATAGAGAAAATCATAAAAAGAAAGTTTCAAAGTTGCTTGATTATAATTGATGACATGATTATGAACAGTAATAAATTGTGTTCGAAACGTAATTCAGTGAATAATACGGTTTCACTGTGTGATCTACCTAATAAAGAAATCAATATGGAATAAAAATCCAAGTTACACATATTCTAAGGTATCTTATAAGTATTTTTACACTTCCATCAGTTATTTTATTAGATCCCCACTGATCGGAATATTTTGAACTGGGATTAATAATGAAC